TTTCTATTTTCTTTTGATTAAATTTATTTAAATGAACATTAGTATCAACACTGTCATTTTCCAGTATCATCTAATGGAAGGTTGATTAAATCTGTTGAAAATTATAAATGGTGTTTTAGTAAAATGCTAACCATAAGGTAGATTTTAGATAATCTATGAAACTATAAGGGTATTTTAGAAAATGATCATTTCTATTATTTATCTTTTTTTTAATAAATTCCATGCATTGCATGTGATCCCACTAGTATATATATTAAAACAAGGCAGTGAAGAAATTTTCTTATTTTTTTTGAATATTTTATTTTTTTAATTCTATATCATTTTTGAAACGACCAATGAGATGTACTTTCCAATCACCTAAATAATTTCTTCTCCTAAAATTTCTCCTAAACTACCTCCCCCACTTTCTCCAAAATTATCTCTAATTCTTATTTATCTTTTAAATTATCTCTAATTCTTATTTATCTCCAAAATTATCTCTAATTTAGTAGAGAGTTTCTTTCTTAAATTATCTCTAATTTCTATTTATCCTCTCCCCTACTTTTTATCTATATCTATCTAAAAATAGTTTGGATGAAAAAATTTAAAAATTATTTAAATATTCTAACAAAATTATATAGTAAGTTTAAAATATTTATTAAAAACACAAAAAAATAATTTTATATTTTTACAAAATATATCACAAAATTATATACTAACAATTTAAATTATGTTTTTTTGGATTATCAATTCAAATGTTTTTCAAATATTTAATATTATGTAATAGATTTAAATAAATAAAATTCAAATAACAAAAACAATTAAATATTTTATAGATTATTTAAATATTTATCTTAACTAGATTTTAAATAGTTAAAATAATGGAATTACGAAATAATATTAAAAAATTTCTTCAAAGTAGAAATATAATTATAACATAATATTGAAATTAATAATAATTTAATACATTACAAAATGAATAATGAAATTATGTAATAATATTACAAATTATGATTTTATCGATAATTAAATTCAATAAATAATTAATATTTTAAAATTTAAATATTTTACATATTATTTGAGTATTTAAATAACTAAATATTTTAAATAAAAAAAATTAACATAACTAGATTTTAAATAGTTAAAACAAAGAAATTATGTAATAAATTTAAAAAATTCTGAAAAGTAGAAAAATAATTATAACATAATATTGAAATTAATAAAAATTTAATATTTTACATAATATTGTAAATAACTAAGTTCACTTATATCAAGTAATAATTCAAGAAAATAACTTTCAAAAAATTAATATTTATTAATAATAATTTTAAACTCTTAATCTATATTTATTATATAATTATATATTCTAAAATTAATATTTGTTGTGTTTCAGTAATTTTTTACTGTTTTTTATGATAGATATATTTTCAATGGTTATGTATAAATTTATTTTGTTTTGTTATTTAACAGAAAATTTTCAATAATTATTGGAGATTAAACTACTATTATTGATTTTTTTTTTAAAATTAATTTATTGTACTTATTGTATTTTTGTTATAACTTATTGGTTAATTAATATTTATTAGAGATTAAACTATTACTTGAGAGTATACTATTTATTGACTAAGTTAATATATTTTTAGTGCTTATTGTATTTTTGTAATTATTGTATTTTTTTATTATCAATATATTTTCAGTAAATGTGTATTTTTGCTATAAATTTTTAATAATTATTAGAGATTAAACCATTGTTATTTATCGGAGATGAGACTATTAATTTAGCTAAAATTATGAGTATTCATGAGTTGGTTTGGTTCAGCCATAGGTTATTTGGCCAACCAAATTGACCTGGTCAAGTTGGGGAGTTGGTTAGTGAAACCGACTGACCTTTTATGAAAATTGACCCACTCAAGTTGTATTGGTTTGGGTTGGTTTCACAAAAGGTTAGTCGGTTCAAAAGATTTAAACTTAAAAATTTAATTTAATTTTAAAAATTATAATGCAATTATTAGAAAAATAAATTAAAAAATATATTTATGAAATAAAACATTTTAGACTAAGAAATATGGTAAATTTCACTTTTTCATATTAAATATTATATTTAAAATATATATATATATATATATATATATATAATATCCATGGTTAGGCCATTCGATTTTGGTTGATTTATAAATGACCAAAGTGGAACTGATCCAATTTCGTTAAATTAGGAATTTTTTGAACCAAAGTCGATATAAAATACTAGAAAATCGATTAATTCGGGTCGAGTTGATCAAGTTGGTTGGTTTCATAAGTTTGATGAATAAACCTAATTGAAATTAATTATTGTTATTTTCATATTATAAAAAAATTATTAAAAGTAATATCTAAAATATGAATAATTATTAATTATTTAAAAAGTTGAAAATATAAAACAATCGTATACTCTTATATGTTTCCATTAGGGTCATTTAGTAAAACATTCCATATATTTTATAACTTATTTTTATTCCAAAAATACCCTTAACACTTTTTTATACAAAAAAATATTGACCAAATATAGCCAATAGAGTGGTTGCCCGTGTCTTATTAAGGGCAAAAATGGTATTTTTATTTCTATTTTATTTTGATTAAATTTATTTAAATGAACATTTGGGTCAACACTATCATTTTCCAGTATTATCTAATGGAAGATTGACTAAATCCGTTGCAAATTATAAGTGGTGTTTTAGTAAAATGCTAACTATAGGGTATATTTAAGTAAATCCATGAAACTATGGTATTTTAGTGAATGACCCATTTTATTATTTATCTTTTACTTAATAAATCCTGTACATCACACGGGTCCCACTAATAATTAATCAAGACAAAATCATAAAATCAGAGCCACTTTATTTGGTTCAATCAACTCAAGTCCATCAGTAGACGCAACCCATTGACAGCCCTACCTACGTCTTGTCCTACAATTTACACATTCCTGTTTTGCATTCATCAGTTCGGTATCTCTTCCAATGTTATCAGAGTAGGACTGGACTGAAAACCAGAAATCTTGTGATTTCATCTACAATATTTGGAAGTTGGAACAACCCACATGCATTAAAATGAACTCATTACCAATTAACTTTCGGCATTGATTTCTTTGAGTGGTTGCTCTCAGGAATTTAGGAATGGCAACGGGTCAGGGAGCCACTCCCCATCCCCGTCCCTGCAAATATTTCCATCCCTGTCCCTGCCAATGAGGACAGGATTATCTCTATGCCCGTCCCCACAATGCCCGCAGGGATCTGCACTTTCCTTGATATTTTTTTTTATAATGTCAACTATTTTGTAAATAAAATAATTAAAATTTACAATTCTTTTGAAAAAGATTAAAATATATTCAACCATGGGAGGGGATCGAGGTGATCCCCGTGGAGTAGGGAGTGCTTTTCTCATCCATACCAGTAGGGATGAAAATTTCCCCATCTCCGTCCCCATAGGGGAAAAATCATTCCCATCCCTACCCCAATGGAGTGGGTCCCCCAGGGATTAGGGAAATGGAGAAAATTGCCATCCCTAATCAAGATTGTACCCATTTTCATGCTTGTCCCAAGTTTACCATTGCACCAAGCAATGAAGTTATTATTTGTAAATTATTATTAGAGGGATAATGAAAGAATAGAATTAGATTTATTTCTTTAAGTTGCCTTTGGTTGCAATGCAAATCTTGATTGGGCACAAAATTTGTACTCAATTCAATTTTGCTTTTCATTTGTTTGTAATTATGATTTACATTTCTATCTATTTTTTGTCTCTTTTGCACTCACTGCAGGTAGGGGTATCAATGGACCGGTTTTGGGTTGGACTCCGTCCAAATCAAAATCTATTTGGACGGATTGGATGGATCAATAAGACATGTTGAATTTGGACGGACTGGAAGACCAATATGACATATTGGATTGGACCTGGTCCATCCATAATGAATTTATATTGGATTGAGTTAATATCTGGTCCATTGATAGAAGATAAGAACATAGGTGTCAATGGACCAGGTTTGAGTTGAAACCAATCTCAATTAACAGGGATTTGAACAGATTGAACAGTCTCTGGACCAGCCCAAAATGGTCTAAAATATTTATTGGACTGGATTGGACCAGATCTATTTGTAATGGACTCACATTGGACTGGACCGGATTGGACCAAATCCAGTCCAATTGACACCCCTAACTGCAGGTGTAATATTTACATCCCAAAACTGATGCAAAATTTGCATCACCTTCCTCCTACTTCAATCATTTCTCATTTTTCATATATAAAGTGAAAACCACATCATCATGCATCCTAACTTATTCCTAGATAGATAGCCCTCCTACCAATATTCTCTTTCATATAAAAGTAAAGATCACTTCATTTTACTTCTTATATGAAGCAAAGTAAACCAGAATTTACATTCAACCTTTTGCACACCCATACATTTACACCAGTGCAACTGAAATTTATATTGCAACCAAACACAACCTTAAATTATACAACAAGCTTATCTATACTTCCATTGGCGTCTGACTATGGTGTCAAATGAAATGAAAGAAAAGCAAAGAGAGAAAAGAGAGGAAAATTGGTAAAAAAGGTACTACAGAAAATTAATATATCAAATATTTGGGTGTTATAGGAATATCATGTAAAACCAAGGTTTTTTAAACTAGACTGGGCATGGAACTGTTCTGGGACCGGTTTCCAGGTCAAATGGTCCGCCAGTCTGATTCGAACAGACAGCTCGTTCTGATTTAAAAGAAATAAAAATGAAAAAGGCCACAAACTGTTCTTTAAGTTAATGGCTCAACAGTTCAACCACCTGGGTCAACCGGTCGCTGACCAAATTAACAGTTTCTGGCCAAAAAGTGATTTTAGGATTAAACAAAACTAGTTATCTAACCGGTTCTTGGGTTTTCTGGTCTGACCTTCCGATCTGATCCGGTTTTTAAAACCATGTGTAAAACAAGTTAAGTTATTACTTTTCTCACTTGGTAAGCACGTGCACTGAAAGGCTGAAACCAAGAATGTTAGAGCAATTAATCTGAGTTTCTTGCTTTAAGTTCAACTCGAAGCAACTCCTTTTTTTTAAACAAAACCACGGAATTAACTTATTAGTTATGTATCAGATTCGGGAAGTTGGGATAGAGGCGGTTGCCACAAAAGAGTTTTATTTTACAATCATGAAAGTGGATGCACAGAGAATAATAACCAGCTCTGTTACCAGAAGAAGTTGCTAATCTGGGGTGGGGCTTGGGAGTTGTCGAGATCATGGGACGGAGAATGTATGTGTCTTCCTTCATAGGTTGTGATTACCATCCGCGGGTCCTCTGCTAATCTCTCCACTCGCTTCTTTACACGGCAGTTGTCCTGTGTACAACGGTAATAACTCCTGCATACACATTAATTACTTGATAGTTGAGACATGATCACTTGGTGCAATCAAGTGTTTATTACTGAATTATGCGTGATAATGTAAGTAAGCAAGTGTCACAAATGCCAGCTGGCTAGCTAATTGCAGTACTGGATTTGGTCCAATTCAATCCGGTTCAATATGAGTCCATTATAGATGGACCAGGTTCAATCTAATGCATTTCACCATTTTGGACCACTTCAATTTAATGTTTGGACTGTCCAATTTGTTCAAATGGATTTTAATTTCAATTGGTTTCAATCCAAACCTGGTCCATTGACACATGTATTCTTATATTTTATCAATGGACTAGATATTGGTTCAATCCAATCCAAACCAATATAAATGCATTATGGAAGGACCAGGTCCAATCCAATCCAATAAATACTTTGAACCATTAATTCTGTATTAGCTCAATTCGATATATTTTATTGGTCCATCTAATTCATCCAAATTGATTTTGACTTAGCTGACACCTTTAATTGTAGTAGAGACTTGGAATCAAATCCCACCTGCAGTGGGCTAGAATCACCCGAATCGTATAGATGCTTAAACAGAATTGACTTAAGCTTTATCAAAATTTCAATAGGGCTAACCCAGAGCAACGTAACATGCTAACTCGGACCAACCCAAGTCGCACCCCTAATATCAGCTGATATGTGGAATGTCATGGAATTTCCACTATTCCACCTGTGCCTTGTCAATATTCAGTAACCATCAAAACCAATACTGTCAGATAATATGGACCAATATGCATTGATACTTTAAACCATGAGTCCAATCAATGTTGTTAAACTTGCAAAACTACATTTTACTTGTGCTCATCATGTCATTGAATATTAGCTGCTGATATGGTACGTACCCAAGCCAAACAATATTGTACCAGTAAAATGGCCAGATTACTGGTTCAAATGACTCTAGTAAGCATACAAGAGTAGCATGTTTTACTAGATAATCCTTCTGTAAGAAGAACCATGCCCTGACCAATATTTATTTTTTGCCATTGGTTTGGGTTAAGGTTTTTAAAACTGAACCGGATAATGAACCAGTAAGAAGTTTGGTTCCCGGGTCAAACGGTCCGATCGTTCGAACCAAACGGATGGCCGATTCTGACAAAAAAATTAAAAAAAATTAAAAAACGATCAAACCGTTGAACGGTTCATCTGGCCGGGTCAACAATTTGTTGACCAAATCAACGGTTTTTGGCAAAATAACGGTTCTAAGGTAAAACAGCTAACCAGTTCCCGATTTTTTCAATCTGACCGTCCGCTCCGATTTAGTTTTGAAAACCATGGTTTTGGTTACATGCATGATAATAACTTGAATTTCAAGTTATTACACATTAAGTTGAATTTCAAGCTACCATATCCGCAGAAGAAAACTTCTCTAGGGGCTACGTTGCAGCTAAAGTATTCCTTCTTATTTGTGCCATTAATGGTTTTCATGGCAATAACCAAACTGGCAAAAATTCTCTACTGACCGTATTTTTGTTACGTACTGGGATTATTCATAGGTTGCAGGTAGGGGTGAATATGGGTCAGTTCAGCTTTGTTCCAAGGCAGAACCTGGAACCTACCCAGCTATAAGGATAAGTTTTAAGTTTTTGGAACCAAAATCTACCATTTCAATATCGGTTCCCATGTCGATTCTAGGGACTAACTATAAACATGTTCTTTCTTTACAACAAAAAAAGAACATTTTCTTACAAAAAAAATAAACATTACTTAACTTCAAGAATCAAACTAGATAGCTATATATGTTGTTGACATTAATATAGTACTATGTGTTATGTTTTTCATAACATTAAGGATAATAAATGTGATATAATTACATAATCACAAATTGTGCCATTGATAATGTTACTAGCAATATATATGATCGATTAGAAATCACAGTCATAAAATGTTTAAACTTCATTTTGGATAATAAGAATACATAGTTCAAAACTTATATTACCTTTATTAAATAATTCTATAGGTTATCATAATATATTAATATATAATTTAAAACTTATCATTATATTTTAAAATTTGTAAATATTACTTTCTCACACTACATGTTATATACATATAAATATTAAATTAAAGAAAAATTATCAATTCACTTAGGCTCTGTTTGGTTTGTGGGATGGGGATGAGAAAAAGAGAATATTCCAAAAATATTCCTTTTCTCTTATTTGTTTCGAGGGAAATAGAGGGATGGGATGAGAAAAACATGGGATGCGAGATCCCAAAATCGTGTAATCGGGATCACACCAAAACAATGCGACCCCGGTGGGAAAACTCGAGAAAACTCGAGAGCGGCAATGAACTAGTGGTGATAGGGCGACAAACCAGCGACAATCCCTTTCCCTCCGTCTCTCTCTCTCTCTCTCTCTCTCTCTCCCTCTCTCTCTCTCTTCCTCTCCTTCATTTTCGTTTTTCTCTCATGTTACCATCGAACCAAACACTGTTCATTGTCTTCCCTATTCGAACAGAGGAGGCGGTGGTGGCAAGAGAACCAATGTGAGGGGCAGCAGCGATCTGCTTCCATCAAACAAAGGAGGCGGCGATCTGTTACCATTGAACCAGACCCTATTCTCCATCTTTCTCTTCTCTCTTCTCCCTCACCTTCTTTGTCTTCCTATTCTTTCCGTCTTCCTCCCTTTTTAATTTATTTCTTTCTTTGATCGCTGTTGCAACTCTCGGCAGCGGCGATCTACTTTTTCAGCACTCCTATCTCTCTCTTATTCCCTCATTTTCCCTCTCTCTCTCTCTCTCTCTCTCTCTCTCTCTCTATATATATATATATATATATATATATATATATATTTGGTGTGCTTTTTGTTTCATTGTTAGGTCACTGCAACTCCTCTCTTTGTCAAAGATAACAGAGGAAGTGCAGTCATGGAGCTCTCTTCTTCATCTTACATGAATCTAGTGAAGAACTAGGTTGCGACAATACTTTTCCCACTATTTTCTCATATACAAAACCAAACAATGGAAAATTAAATTTTTACACCTTCCCATCCCATATTTTCCCATCCCACCCAAATCTTCCCACAAATCAAACAGAGCCTTAAGTGGGATTAATGGTCAACTGAGGCGATATGGTCTTTGTAACCTGGGTGCAAATATTCACATCCTCAAAGTATTTTGAGATTTATTTTACAAAAAAGTACAGACACCCAATGCAAATTTCTGAATTCCACTATAGAGTTATAAACATTCAAAATGTTAAAACCCCCCACTCTATACACCAATGTCCGCCCGTGAATTGGCATCAATTCTGAGCTGGCACCCACCCCAACTATACTTTGGGCCTAAAAATTCTGACCCTTGGGCTGAATCGTCATTCTCCCTTTATTTTAAGGCAAGCCTGGTTCCAAGGCTGATTTCACCAAAGTCAACCAAAGGTTAGGTCCACCCAAGCCAATCAAGGCAAATTCTCTAGGAATAGGGTAAGCCACTAGACTCTAGAATCTGCCTATATGGACTAGGGTTGGTTCCAAGAATTTGGAACCAGATCCTACCCTTACAGATTGGGTAGGGTAGATTTGAGGTCAGTTCCACTAGGTTCTAGGTATAACCAACTCATTTGTTCACTCCTATTCGTACGCCATTCAGTTCTAAACATATGCAAAGTCTTCTAGTTCAGCCACTCATCTATCCCTTTTTTTTTCAGGTTGACATTGTAACTTACCTCTTGGAATCCAAGACCATAAAACAATTAGTTCTAACAAATTCTTGGGGGTTAGCTGAAGCCATAGAAAAGCTAGCAATGCACGTCTCATCAATCTCTTATACAAAGTTCCAAACACTGTGCAAACGTCTATGTCTCTCTTCTTGAATAGGTCCAATGATACCAATGCTGTGTTTGGTTGCAGTGCAGTTTTATTTGTACTAGTACAAATACATAAGAGTGCAAATGAAAAAAAAATGTATATTCTTGTTTAATTTTGTTTTGGGTTTTACTTTATTCTGTTTGATGTCATAATTTACTTCATTTGCACTGCAATTGGATAAAATAATCTAAAATTTGAAACAAAAATAGGTCAGAATTTACATTTAAATCATTTGCACTTCAATAGTTTTGCATCAGTGCAAATTTATTTGTATTGCAACCAATCACAGTTCAAAAGAGATTGTCATGTCAAGCTAATAGTGTCCAACATGGCTACCCTACAGGCTACACCAATGCAATTCCAAGTGACCGAAAATGCGCTTGACTGTGAGTCCAACGCTTGCTTGATGTGAGCTCTTGCCCCCATCAAATTTGAATCTATCATATTCCTATACTTTGGAATCTAGGTGACTGAAACAAGCTAGACCACTCTCAAGGAACCCAAGTAAACTGTTAGGTGAGTTCCTAAATAGGTTTTTATTCTCTAATACTTTCCCTTACAAGAAAGCCCATTGGGCTTGAAGTGTGGACATGCATAGGCCTATCCATAATTTAATTAATTATAACGAGATGAGCTTAAGCTATTAGGTGAGACAGTTAGGTGAGGTCCTTGAATGTATAATGTATATAGTTCTAGAACCATAGAGGTTGATTGTGCCGATACCTGACATTGTGTTCCAGGAGCGTGTGATGTGTCCAATAGATCAAATTAAGATATAAGATTACTGTAAATAGCTTCCACGTATCATTAGCTTTTGTTGCTATTCAGAAGTTGTTTCAGGGTTCTCAGTGCTCTGTTCCAAAACCACAAAAGGTCATTTTGTTTATTCGAACACAACCATTCATTAGTGCATTTTCCTCATATCTTCACAAGTTAAACAGTGTACTTGTGGCATCACCTATGATTTCTTAGGACCTGAAAATGATGGCTATTTGGACTATGATAGTTGAAGGATTGTCTCAGAATTTTCTATAGATGAACGTCCAGAAACCTTTCATGTTTGTAGTATTAACCCACTACATGTCAAGGCAGAAATATTCATTAATCAGTGTAAAATTAACAACTTAATTAGATTAGAGGGGATCATTAGAAATACAAAAGACATAAGATTGAATATTGAAGATTACAGCCCTTGATTGAGAGAGGAAGCTTTTAATCCAAATGCAACAAAGAACTGGAGCTCAGACTAATGTGTGGTCATAAATGATCTTATCCCAACCTTTACCCTTTGCTTTGAATGGATAAATTAAAACTATATCATTAGCTAACTATATTTACACATCAGACTTCAGATCATCAAGGATATAGCTAGTTGGAAAAAATTATTAGCCTGTTGTGTGCATGTCTGTGTATTTTGAGAGAAAGAGAGAGAAGAAAACAAAATGCATTTGCAGTTATGCACTGAGACACTAACCCTAAATAAACTAAGCCTATGAATTCTTAATGAGAAAGCATGATGAAGCAATAGAGGAAATGATTTTTCAAACATAATTAACTGATGCAATATACCTTGGATGCTGTGTGTTCTTCACTACTTTCTGGCCGTACTTCCTCCACTTGTAACCATCGTCCAAGACATCCACGTCGCTCATGGTTTTGAAGCAAAACCTGGGCTCCCTCACCTTCCTCCTTGCCTTCACCTTCTTCATCTTCATTGCAGAAACACCCATGTGCTCATCTTCACCATATCTTTTACCGCTCAAACGCTCACTGTCTTGTACCCATGGCCTGAGTTCCAACCAAAACCAAACCAACAAATGAGAAAACTGGAGAGAGAGAGAGAGAGAGAGAGCAATTTCCTGATATTTCTGCATGAAAATCTAAGAAATTTTTGTACTCGGTTAGGAAATTTCATGATTATGAGAATGAAATTGTTTTTGATTAAATGATCATACCACCAAATAAAAAAAAAAACTGAAATGATCATACTGGAAAACAGTTTTATTCTTAACTTGGGTCTGTGTGTCTTTTCATTTTGTAACACTGTGAACGTATCATAAGATAAGAACAGTTCAATTACCAGAGACTATTAGTGGATTTTTGCACTGAAGAAGCTTCAAATTCACCGAGATGAGAAGCAATAATATCTCTCTGCTTTAAAGCTCTAGAAGATGGGCTTTCATTTAGCTGACAAGTACCATCTTCTCCTAGAGAAGAAGGGTTGTTAATGCTGAGGGATCTCAAAGATTGATGACATCTGAATTGAGAAAAGCTTCTGCTGGGAGAAGAGTAGAAACCCATTTGCGAGGGCATCTCTTGGTCTTCAGACAACCCCTGGTTAAGCGCGATTTGGGACGTGGACATTTCTCTCTCGAATAATAGGAGAGTAGACTTCTTGGTTCTCAGAAAAAGGTAAAGCCTTATCCCTCTCTCTTCCTGCTAATCATATATCTGATTCTCTATGTACTAGATCTATATTAAAACTTAATAGAGGATAATATGTATTAGTTTCTCATCTCTCAACTCTAGAAGTTACTTTTTATTTATGACACAGAAATTAACGAATAGTATGAGGAGAAAATGTTTGGTGAGTGATTTGGGCACAACCCAATTTGATAGAGTGAGTGCATATCCTGATAGACCAAAAGACGACATGTTTTGGTGTTTGATTATCTAATAACAGATGCTTCTTTATCTTTTAATTAACTAGGGGTGTGTCCTAATCACTCCCCAAAAGTTTTAATTCCTTATTATTAATTATTCATTTAAATCCAAAAAACAAGCAAACAAAACTATACATAGTATCAGTATGTATCTATTTTATCTACACATGAATATATAAGACCTTATTTTTTTTCATCTCATGCACAGAGAGAAAGAGAGAGATGAATTATGGATTCTTGTCGTTCAGATGAGTACTTAACATCTATCAGAGAGAGATGAATTATGATATTATTCTTGTGGTTCAGATGAGTACATAATAACAGAAGAAAGATGCCACAACGAGTGAAATAGGTTTTCTTTGTGGAACCCTAAAAGTATCAAGCAATGATGATGAATCTTGGGTGCAAATCTTTCCCTCCACTTCGGCGGTGATGGTATTATTATGACTCGATGAAAGAAGGCTTACTGGAAAAAGCTTCAATCCTTTTCTCTTGCTTTATCTTCCTTCCATGTGACCTTTTTTCAGTTCATGTTATAATCATCTTCACTGCCCATTCCATTGATGTCTGAGAGAGCCATTCCCGAAGGAAAAACTTGAAATCTCTCACAGTTTTACTTTAAAAACTGGGTAATTAACAATTTAGAACAATAATGACATTGTTATATGTGTGTTAGTGGGGGTAGCTGGTAGCTGCCGACCTGCCGTGTCTTAACCAACCACTGGTCTCAATCTACTTTGTGTTAACATACACGTTGTAAACATGAAACGCAGAAAAGATCGATTCCAGGTAGATAGACCGGATTCAGTGCTCACAAAATCTGTTATTACACCATCCTCACAACACTTAATTATAGCCCTGTATTTAGAACATCTCCATACTTATATATATATATATATATTTTTTTTTTCATTTATTGGAAGATATTCTCAATGAGATCGGCTTCCATTCTGTGCCCATACTCTTCTAATTGCATTGGGAAAATCTCCTCATAAAATAAAGTATAGAAGTATGGATATATTCTCAATATAAGGCTGTTCGAACGGGCTTTGCCCTGACCAAAGCCAAATTTAATGCATGCAATTGTTGTGAGGATGGTGTGAAAAAAATTTTTGTGAGGATTGAATCTGGTTTTGACCCACAAACTCTTCTATGTGAGGAATGTGTTTGCTTTTTACATCACTCAGGATTAACTGAACTTGGTAACTGTTTTATGGGCTGTGGTAATAATCCTTTTTCTCCACTGATCTTGTGAAAATTTTCAAATATCTAATTTTTCTTGACACTATGGGCTGGAACACTTTGATGAGCTTTTATTCTTTATTTATTATTTTGTTTTTTTTTTGGAAAAGGGGTATTAGGGAGAAAAGTCGTAAGGAATGTTGGAAGCATCTGCCTTAGACCAGATATCTAGGGGCAGGCAAAGAAAGGTGATGAACAAAGAGGAGCCTTAATTATATATGGAAAAACCGTGTGAGCCCCTCATGTTTCAATGTATGAGAGGAGGAAAATTTTCCCTGTGAAATATTTCAAACAAAATTTTTCATCCATCAAGGCATTAGCAATGCTTTAAACTAAGTCTTATGATTTAGGGAGCGTTCTACGACGTGAATTGCTTTCCTTGTTGTCAGTTTCAAAAGCAAATCAAAATCATCTGGTTTGGAAATAGGTTGTTTTGAAGAAACATGTTCTTGGTTGTATGTGTTTTTTGTTTTCAAAATTGAAACCAAAAACATGTTCTCGAATCTGGTTTCGAAAACATGTTTCTATCTTATTATTCAACATCATGTTCTATAAGTCAAATAATTTTATACTAGAAAGTTTGTTTTTGTTTTAAAAACCAATATTTTGTGCAAAACCAATTTGCTTTTCCTTTTGAAAACAAAAACATAGTTCAAGAACATGTTTTGTTTTTTTGCTGATGTAGCGATTCCAAAAACAAATCAAAACAAAAGCATTCATGTTGTAGAATGGCCCAATTTTTTCTTTTTTTTTTAATTCTTAGTCATTTTAATCATTAATAAAATAATTTATCGCACTTATTTTTATTTAATATGATGCATATATGATATTAAAGACATACCTAATTTTTCTACAGTTTTTTTTTTTATATTTTTCATATTTTTATATAATTTCATTTAATTTATAACATCACAGGTTGATCCATTTGATTCAGGCAGTTTCATTGTTGATACATCACACGGCCGGAAAAGCAGTAACCAACCTTTGTCAAAGAAGTTCCTATAAATCCTAGGCCTTCCTTTAGCTTGAAGGGTTCAAACTTTTAATTGCTGTTGTTACGAGTGAAAGAGTTCAATATATAGGTCAATCCAAATCTTTAGTTTCTAGGAGACAATCACAAGACAGCAACAGGTATGCGACTTTGAAAGGGAGAGGCACAGAAGGAGAAACATTTAATATAAGTTAATGGACCTTTAATTTAAATCTTAAACCACCTTTTTTCTCTGTTAATCCAAGATATACAGTTTATCAACCATGAACATGAATAGTAGTCTGGATAGCCTGTTATAAAATCGAATTTGATTCTCACAAAACTGTCATCACACCGTCCTAACAATCTCTTGCAGTTATATATTGGGAATTTTTCTCTATGAATAAAAACAAGGATAGATGTTCCTAATGCACGGTTGTAAAAGTTGTAATTAAAGACAATTTTCATTATACGATACAATTAAAATTGTACTATATATAGTCAGCAGAAGAGATATCTGTGGTACAAGTGTCAAACACAAATCCAGATATATAGACTAACGTGAAGTGGGATTCTGAAGTGAAATCCCTAGTGTCCCTTCAGATCTGTTTCGGGTTGAATCAGCAAGTACTGGCTCTCAAGTAGTGAAGCAATCCTTATGGTTTGACATGTTTTGTGTATTCATGTGATTATATTTCATGTTCAACTTTGTGTCACAAAATAAGGGGTGCATTTGGTTCACATGTAAAATTGGGATTGGAATCAAAATTCTTCAGAATTGGAATTGGAATGGTCTATTCCCATTTTTTGTTTGATTTAGACAGGAGTGGGAATAGAAATTGGAATAGCAGGAATGAGATTTCATTCCTAAAGGAAGAAAGGGACAGGGAATGGCCATTCTCTCAAATGAGAGAATGCAGAATGCCATTCCAGCAGGAATGGGAATGGGATTCTGATTCTGCCCAACCAAACAGTTGAAATCAGAATAGCCCATTCTAATTCTGATTCTAAACCCCTATTCTTGCAAACCAAATGAGGCCTAAGTGTCTTGTATTGTGAATTCTAAAACAAATTAAACCATCTGGTTTGAAAATAAATTGGGGTCTTAAAGCAAAAACATGCATGAATTTGTTGTATGTATTTTTTGTTTTTAAAACTGAAATACAAAATGTGTTCTTGAATTTATGGTTTAAAGATAATGTTGAGCATGAATTGATTTTTACACATAATTAACTTATAAGCTGGAAATTTTGTGACACCTGTCATATAAAGGGAGAATAATGGTTCAGCCGAGGATCAGAATTTTTAGGCCCAAAATACAGTTGGGTAGGTACCAACTTGGAATTGATGCTAATTCACGAGTGGGCATTGATGTATAGAATGAGGGTCTTTGAAATTGATATCAATTCATGGGCAGACATTGATGTATAAAATAAGGGTTTTTGACATTTTAAATATTTATAAATTTATAATAGAATTCAGAAATCTGCATTCAACCTGTAGGTACCTTTTCCGTATAAAATACCCTCTGCCCTTAAAATGATTTAAACAAAATTCTAAGACAGCAATTATAACATTTATTTAGTAACTCGTAAAGGTGTGCCCATTGAATCCAGTCCGGTTTCATAACATGATTCAATTGCCACATCATTAAATTTGTATGATATTTTATTAATAATTTAGTTTAATTTGGACAAAAAAAAGTTTTGCATGGCATTAATAATTTGAATTCAAAGAAATTAATCCAAACGACCTAAATCTGCTATATTATTAATAAATTAAGAGATGCTTTTTTTTTTTTTCTTTTGCTCTAAATCTACAGAAGAGAGAAGATTTGGAAGAACCCCTGTTGATCTTTCCGGCCAAAGTCGTCGGGAGTAGTGTGGAGTGAAAGTAATGGTAGTCTGGACGTGAGTGGACGTTGCATTCTTACATAGGACTAACGTGCATATGATGTCACAGCCAAGGGAACAAACGGAATAATATCTAAGCATCATCTTCGGGGATATTGAATTAAAGGATTTTAACTTAATTTTTATTTATTTTATTCTGTGTAGCTTTTTGATTTGGGAAAAGCTAACAAACAGAGGAGAAAAAAATGGATGGTGTAGTTGAGTTGTGGGGGTGGCAACTGGCAATCGACATCATTTCTTTTTGTCGCTGCTCACGAGTGGACATTAATTAATTCCCTTTTTTTTTTTAAGCAGGGGTGGACGTCATTATTACGAAATATGTCATTCAGATGCTAAATTTAATAAAATCCTTTTATTTGAAAAATGGTCTCCTGTATTGCAGACTTGCAGATGACTTGTTTTTGTTCTTTATGATAAATAGTTGTAGGGTTGTAAGATTGAAATACTTTTCAAATAAATAGTTTTATTCAAGGGTTGTAAGACTGAAATTCATTACAAAAAGAAAAAATAAACTGTCTTTTTAAATAAAAGAAAAATAAATAATTCTTATTAAAATAAAAAATTTAAAATTCTTAAAAAATAAAACATATATAACCTCTCTTTGCTAATACCAATCCCTATCTGCCCTACATAACCTCTCTTTGTAACATAAGACCCTAAACAATCTTCTCTCTC